TGTTGACATTTTAAATGTTTTTCAACAAACTAAGCTAGGAAATAAATATAGTGTGAATATAATATAATATAAATAAACAATATTACTATTATTAATATTACTAAAATTATGAATAACAATTAAGGAGTAAAAAGTTTTTTAATTAAAATCTAATGTTTCGAATTTTAAATTTTGTTTTTTTTCTTTTAAAGTGAAAAGTATTTCGAAATGAAATAAGATGTAAAAGTAATAATAGTATTATCTTTAATATTGTAATAATGATATAAAAGAATATAATAATAATAATAATAATAATAATAATAATAATAATAATAATAAGCGGAAACTGAAGGTTTTATCCTTGCTGCGCAGGATCAATGCTTGCTAACTAGGAATTATCAAGCACATATACTAAAATATTGTGTCAGCCCAAAATGCAGATTCTGTGATAAATATCCAGAAACGATTGATCATTTTGTATCAGGTTGCACGATGTTGGCACCCACTGAATATAAACCCCGACATGACAGAGTGGGCCAATATCTGCACTGGAAAATCTGCAACTTCTACGGGAAGGAAAAAACTGAAAGAAGCTGGTATGAACACCACCCAGACCCGGTTACGGAGATAGAACCTGTTACAATTCTATGGGATTACACAATACACACTGACAGAACAATCAAGGCTAACCGGCCAGATATTGTTATTAAAGACCACAAACAAAAACGGTGCCACCTTATTGATATGGCAGTCCCTGCTGACTACAATGTATCTTTGAAGATATTCAAAAAGTTGTCAAAGTACAAGGACCTCGAAATAGAAATCTCGAAAATGTGGTATATGGGAACATCAACAATCCCTGTTGTAGTTGGAGCCCTAGGACTGGTTGGAAAAGATTGCAGTAGACTAATTGAAGGGATTCCTGGAAGTCCATGCCTCAAGGAGATACAAAAAATTGTTCTGACAAGTACGGCCCGCACCTTACGAAGGGCTTTATCTATGTAATTTTATTTTATTTATTTATTTTTTTTTTTTGTCAGTGGAAAGTGCCATGACACCATTTCTAACCTTAGGTCCCTGGGCAGGACCCGGAAAGAAATGTGTAAACGCCAGAAATCAAAGAAAATAAAAATAATAATAATAATAATAATAATAATAATAATAATATTAATCATAGTAATGATATATATATATATATATATATATATATATATATATATATATATATATATATATATATGTGTGTGTGTGTATATATATATATATATATACTAATAGTAATCATACTATATATATATATATATATATATATATATATATATATATATATATATATATATATATATATATATATACTAGATTTAAAATATTTTTCTATCTTAATAAAAAGGAATTCATAGCTGCAATTGTGAAAGAATCTGGAAGAATCATTTTCTCCTAGCGGAATAGTTTCTGAGTTAGAAACGATGCCCTGTAAATAATCGGAATATCGTTCTTTCGATGCCGTGTCTTAAGAATTTTCGCCGAGAAAAGAAAAACGACAAAAAAATTACTATTCTTGTTGGGGAGGGGAATGCGATCGAAGAGTTGTGGCCAATGAGCTGACTCATCAAAATGTGCCATAAAGGAGATTGATAAACATTGGCAAGGAATTACCCAACAACAAAAAAAAAAAAGTATTTTCCTCAAACTGAATATCGATAATTATCTCTTGATTTTGACTCACAGACCAAGTCCGTTCGATTTGCTCGACTCTGCTTTGCAATCACTACTTTTTTGTTTTTCTTTGGGTATTAGCGTACGATATAAAACGGTACTAGCGAAATTGTAATTAATATTGTTTAATACGTTTAAAAATTTCGAGAGTCGTTTATTTCATATACCCCGGGTTATAGTATAATTAGTATTACTTTTTTACATATTCAAAAATACTATTCAAATGTTAATAGAGCTTACTCCTCATTCCTCCCAAAAGTCAGTCACATCCATCACATGAAGCAAAGATTAAGATATAAAATTCTTTCAATCAAATAATTAAGCAATTTAATCATAAAAGCAAACCAGTCACTTATTAATAAAAATCACAAAAGACCAGATTGAAATGAATAATAAAATAATTATTTTTAGAATTAATTTTTAAATCTCAATATGAAAATTAAATTAAATATATCCATCTATATCTAAAATTCACAAAATATGTATGTATGTATGTATGTATGTATGTGGGAGGTGATCGGATGTCGTCTATGGGTTTTCACAGTTTTCATCTGATTTCGCTGAATTTTTTTTTTTTTTTTTGTTTGATAGATAATTCTTCAGTGCTGTTTTTGAGTTCAAATTAGCTGGAAAAGATTACAACCTTGAAGGTGAAAAATCGAAAAAAATCTATTTTTTTTTTACACTTTGCGCAAAAATCAAAGGCAAAATTTAATGTCTGTAAAAAACAACGTTCAATCAATTGAGAGAGTTGAAATCGAACGCAAACGATTATTCGAATTATAAAAAAAGAACTATATTATAAATAAAAATTATCGTATATTATTATTATTATTATGACGGTCCATGAAAGAGGTTCCTTCCTTGCCAGATTGAGAACGCAAAAACAGCCCTTTTCAGGGCCACACCCCATTCAAATTGTTAAACCCCCCATTTGGGGATATGCCTCAGTTGCATCCAATTGTTGTTTCTAATATTGATTTTAGGTAGGCTGATTTTAAACTTAAACTGCTCCATGTGAACGGCAAAAATTCCCAGTAATGAAACACCAGGACGAAGATGAGTCCTACTGCAATAAATGCTAAGTTTGGTAAGATATAAAATATATACGGCTAGATATTAATATTAAGACTGTATTGGACAAACGACGTGGTGTCATGGTTAATAAGTTTGTATCACTAAAGCAATTAAACCGAGTACTGATACCGATCCTTACTGATGCTCACACCTAAGTTGCACTTAATAAATCACTATTAAGAGAAGATCCATTCGATGTCTGTTTTGCGCAATATTATTAGACATCACCAGTGCATATGGAAAGACAACACTCACCCTCCCATATATATATATATATATATATATATAATAATAATAATAATAATAATAATGGCATGTCCTGTAGGTTTCGAGGTATGAGGATCTGACAGTTTAATTGATTCAGTTATGAAATATGTGCGATAATCTTAAGTGGCAGTTAAGGGAGCCACATATGAAGCAAGAGTGAGCATTGTCAGATAAGATCACTGTTAGATTGGCTAACCTTTTAGATCTTGCTCACGTTTCTTGAAGATGATTCAGACAAGCATATTGAAAACTGCTGAGTTCACTAAAGCACGTTGATCGCCATTCTAAGCGCTCAAGGTTGTTATATGGTAAACTGACTGCTGAAAAGTTGCTTTTCAGCTTGTCATTGTATCTTAGCCATAGGCGTCCTACATTCCTGTCGCCCTGATCTAACTTATTTCATATAGACAAAAAACAATTAACTCACTACAAAGATGCAACTTCGTTTCAGGGATTTTAAATTGCACTTCGACTGGGGAGAACCCAAATAGTTATGAACAATTCTGTTTGTAAGCAAGCTGCATGTGAAACGTTATTTCCTTTTTCCCATCTGCTTGAAAAAAATTAAAAAATAAAAAATACATAAAAGCAAAAATGTAACGGAGTGAAATAATGGTGGTTGTTGATAGCAGTTTGGTGAAGTTGAAGCTTTACAGTGAGTAAATTGTTATTGTCCATATGAAAAAATTATAATAAATAATTATTACACTACTATCGGTAATGGGTCGTCTTTTTAATTAATACTGTGAACCTTAGAATTTATATATTATTTTCGTTCTCATTACATTCATATATATATATATATATATATATATATATATATATATATATATATTATTAATTCAGATATTATGGTGAATACTCGTATTTGAAACAGACGCCCTATTTTTATTTTTGCTTTAAACAGTGTGTCTTACGTCTGTCGGCCTGTACATTCGAGAAATCGTAATAAAGAATTCTCGAATGTGCAAGACGTAAACAAAAATAAAAATGGTGTGTCTATTTCAAACATGAGTATCCAAAAATGTTTGAAGTGATTATAAAAATTAGGGTTAAAATTTTTTTTAAGCATTTCACCCCCAAGCAAGGCGGAAGTGCCATTAGCAAAGAAGAGGTTACAGTGAGTGGGACCAAGAACAAAGAGGGGGGTGTTTAAGGAAAAGGACAGGGATCAGGATCAAGGCATCAGAAGATGTCGATTGACATTACATTTGAATATTTGAACATTATAGCTATAGTAAGGGACAAATTAGTATCGAGGATTGTCAAGAACTGATTCGTTCTTGTAGTCGAAGATGTGCAGCTGTCATTAAGAGCAAGGGCTCATTTACTAAATATTGATTGTACATGTATTTTTATTGTTTTTTTGTTGTTTACATTGTTTTTCTCAATTTTGTCCCTTACTTTTGGACGTTCCAAATTTGAAAATAAATAAATAATTGTTATAATTCTTTTTTTATCCTTTGCAAATGATTCAAATTTTAGTATGTTATTATGGATGATAACGACTACCAGTTGTCAACATTTCAGCTTTTCACAGTTGATATTTCTAACAAATATTAGGTTTTAAAATTTTGTCCCTTAGTTTTTGACATATTGTATATATATATATATATATATATATATATATATATATATATATATATATATATATATATATATATATATATATATATATATATAATAATCCGAAGAAAAATAGACAAATTATAGACGAAATATAAGGACGAATTCACTAATGAAAATACCAATTTCTTTTTTCTCCATATTTTATTCTCTGATGAAGCTTTAATAAAAGAGAAACATGTTAGATTTATAAACCTTTTGTATTTCTTCTTTACTCTATGACACACACACACACACACACACACACACACACACACACACACACATATATATATATATATATATATATATATATATATATATATATATATATATATATAATAATGGTCGTTTTATCAATAAAATGTTGTTTGGGCGAACCCTCTAATCAGAATTATCCTGGTGATCCCGTAGGTGAAACCTAGGTAGATAGGTTCTGACTCTTGACATATATATATATATATATATATATATATATATATATATATATATATATATATATATATATATATATATATATATATATATATATATATATATATATGTTTTTTTTTCATTCGGCATATTTTTATGGTTCCTCATGCAAAGGGAGACTTATGTTCGAATCCTTCTGGAGGGTATATTCTCTTTATTATGATTTCTCAAGTCCACAGATAAAATAAATGGAACGTCTACGGAAATATGAGTATCCATTAAAATAACATTTAAATTATATATATATATATATATATATATATATATATATATATATGATAACAAAGATACTATTTCGCAAGAAAAAACGTACAACTGGAGTATTTCAGTAAAATAATGCTTTTAAAGTAAGCAGTCTTTGCAATTATTATGCTCAATGTCAATAGATAGAGCATTAATATTAAAATAATAATAATATAATTTTTAACTCCATTCTTCGTGTCGCTTGACTGGGGAATTTGCCATTCAAGAATAGAAGAACTGTCTATCCAATCCGTTGCTGTGGAAGACAAGCAGACACACGTACAAAAGTAAGCGGAAAGTATCAGGTTTTGATATTTCCATATACACACAGATCTCATCACAAACATATATAGTAGTAGAAATATGTTTATATACGATAAAAGAGATATCGATCTATAGATTTACGGAGTGACATCAATAAATTCGTAGCCAAATGAGAAGAAATTTCATTTAATTTACAAAGATTATTCAGGAAATTCTCCTTTGCCAATGCATTTAATTCGAGGATAGATTTGAAGTCAACTGAATATTTTACAGTGAAAATATATCAAAAGGCAGCCTGTGATGCAAGATAGATAGATAGATAGATAGATAGATAGATAGATAGATAGATAGATAGATAGATTGATTGATTAAATATTGATTTATCTTGGTCCTAGCCATTCGGGGAAAATACATCTACTCATCAGGAGACTTGAGTGTAAGATTGAATTTTCTGTCAGAAATTGCATATAAAAAAGTTTATTAATTTTCATTCAATGAGGTTATTATATGATGTAAACTTATTTGAAATTGTTCGGTTCTATGTATTAGATAATTTTTATATAATCGGAAATTGGACATTAATGTGACTTGTGAGATAAATTCTATGTATACCCGATTATTTATATTTTAGATAAAGATAAGCATCTCTTGTTATTGCACTCTCAAATTACAAAGTCTGCTTGCTTTAAAAACGTTATCACCGATTAATATCTTGGCCCTTTTTTTTTCTTATCGTTATATACATGCATGAATGAGGGTGCCGTAATGGATCGTGAAAACAAATATGAAAGTGGAGAGCAGAGTTCGAATTCCAGTTGAGTTAGTTACATTTCATTACGCGGAAACACCTTTGGGAAAGCTATGAACCCACCCCTACATACACACTAAACTACGAGTAACTTGCAGGACAGACTGTGACCTACAGGCTCGGTTGGCAACCGCTCCAGGAGAATTTTGATTGGGCTGTAGAGTGTTCGGATCCGGTAGGCCCTCTATCCCAAGATACACCATTGCTGCCACTATTGGAATACATGGGGTGCTCCTACGACTCTCGGGGGTTACGGGTCCCGTGATCGTAATTGTATACATACATATATATATATATATATATATATATATATATATATATATAAAATATCGAGGAGTATAAAAAGTCAATTGCTGATGACTCTGCCGAGTGGACGATTCCTGAGTGCCCGTCTACGAAACTCTGGAGTTGGCATGCTGAAGGTAACATCAATCAGTGACAACCTTTGTATTTGTATTAATTCTCTCTCTCTCTCTCTCTCTCTCTCTCTCTCTATCTATCTATCTATATATATATATATATATATATATATATATATATATATATATACATATATATATATATATATATACATATATATATATATATATATATATATATATATATATATATAGAGAGAGAGAGAGAGAGATAGATAGATAGATAGATAGATAGATAGATAGATAAACCTAGTGAGCCAGACAAACCTACCCAGGTTTCACCTAAGCGGATGTATGGGTCTTTAGGATTAATTTAATATATATATATATATATATATATATATATATTTTTTTATTTTTTATTTTCTTATTGTTTCAAAATATATATATATATATATATATATATATATATTAAATTAATCCTAAAGACCCATACATATATATATATATATATATATATATATATATATATATATATATATATAATGAATCCTAAAAGACCCAGGCAAACCTACCTAGGTTTTACCTAAACGGATCTTCAGGATAAAGATCCGTTTAGGTGAAACCTAGGTAGGTTTGGCTGGTTCCTTAGGATTATTCTAACTTAACGCTTTACTGAGCATATTGAGCACCCTACGTTTTTGTCTTTTTACTCGTTTGTTTTTTGTTTTGTTTTTTTTGTTTTCTTTGAACTTTGAGCTTAAGCTCTTGATGAATGGTTTCGATTTGTTTTAATATTCTTGGTTCTTTCTTTTTTTATTTCCAAATTTTTCCTCCGGTACCGACTTGTTCTACTGCAATTTTAAACGATTACTAACATATATATATATATATATAATATATATATATATATGTGTGTGTGTGTGTGTGTGTGTGTGTGTGTGTGTGTGTGTTGTTTGCGTGTGTGTGTGTGTGTGTGTGTGTGTGTGTGTGTGTGTGTGTGTGTGTGCAGTGGAGAACTTTCAGAGGGAAATTAACAGGAGATAACTGATAACTGACATCCATTAAACATGGCACGTGGAACTAGAACAGTCTACTCCAGTGAGCGAAATAAAGGGTTCAGTTCGACATTCCAACCACCTGAAGAAGGCCGGAGCGTACAACGGCCGAATCGTTGTAATAAATATGGCGACAAAGATGATGAGAATAGTCCGAATAATGCAAATAATGTCACTAATAACCTGTCGTGTATTGACGTCAAAAGATGAGGGAAATGTGTTGTAGCTGTTTAAATTTCTTCTATTTTCTTTTTCCAGGCACTTTCGTTCTTCTTCTAAGATCATCTTCAGGATTGCAAATAGTACAAAACTATATTTTCTTCTGGGGTACAAGTATTTATACAAAATTGTGCATGGTTATCCATTACCTTCAGTTTTTTCATTATGCTTTTAAATGCATTGTAAACCGTTACTGAGATTAGCTATTTACTTAGAGTGAATAATATCAAATAAATAGGATATATAATAAACTTGCTAAATTAAAGTCAATACTACAATGGTTTAAAGAATTTTATTTTCTGAATTATTTGATGATAATATCGAGTATTTTAACTGAATCTGAATATCAATTGTTATTACGTTTTTAGGAGATTTTAGCATATATGCGTATTTTTAAAATCTGGAATTTTACATATACGATAAACTTTTGGTGGGACGACATAAATATGATATCAGGTAATAATTCAATAGACTTATCATCCCATCTGACCATGATGAGCGGTTTTATAAGATCATCTGACCCTAATCAGCGATTTAAGTGAAACTCTGGAATCAATCAAATGAGATAATTTCACTGAACTCTTATTGATTTATCAAATATAATAAAAGATCCATAAATTATACATATATATATATATATATATATATATATATATATATATATATATATATATGTATGTATGTATTACCTATTCGTAATATACTTGTTGATAACACAAATATAATAGCATAGTCCATATTTAAGAAAAAAAGGACTAAATGTAATGGAAGCCTTATTAATAAAAAAAAAAGGAACAACACTCCATAATATCAACTATGAACATGGACACAACCGTATTTTGAAAATGAAAACATATAAATGTGTACATACGACAATCAATTTTTTTATTTGTTAACAGTTAATATATTTCAACCTTGAAAATGGCCAAATGTATAGCCAAATGCACTCGGAAAGAAAGAACAATTGGACAGTTTTTATATAATTTAAGAAAGAAAGAAAAAAAGAAGAAATTAAAAGATCACATGAGAAATTGTATAAAAAACTAAACCAAAGAGCCTTGTGTGTCATACTCAATTAAAACGGGTATGAAAAAAAAGATTTCTGCCTAAACATACACACACAAACATATATATATATATATATATATATATATATATATATATATATATATATTAAAGAAAAACAATAAACAATTTGCCAAAAAACTTAAAACTCTTACCCAAAGTTTTGAATAAAAATGACCATGCTATGAAAAGTAGAAGAAAAAAGCTCTAAAGCCAAACCTACTTACTTAAGAAAGTGCTCGAAGCCTAGATTGCATAGACATACCAAAAAGCTTTTAACAAAGTTAAATCCTATGAAAGTATGGCCATAGTCATAATCCGAGTTTCGCGCTAACGCGATCATCAGATGACTTGAACACAAATGAAAAAAGGAGGGACGAGCTTTATATAACAAGTGACCATAAATAAAACAAAACATTTTCATTGAAAAAAATGTGGATAACCACACCATCACAGGGTAAAATAGGCAAAAACATATATATATATATATATATATATATATAGGTCTGTGTGTGTAGTAGTAGTAATAGTAGTAGTAGTAATAGTAGAGAGTGATAGTCCACGTATGTTTCTTACAGAATGTAGATACACTAGGCTGAGCAAAGTAATTTTTAATAATAATAATAATAATAATAATAATGTTACTCACATTGGCGTCGGAAAGTTGAACATTTGTCGAATGAGATTCTGCGTCTTCCTCTCAATCGTAAAGTTTATACCATTTTAAATTAGATTTTTTGCTTTTCTTTAATTTCATTCTATGTCTCTTTGACTTTATTTAATTTTAATTCTTACATTTAATTTTTTTCTCTATTATTTCCCTCCTTTTTTTTTTTTTTTTTTGTAATAACCTCGACATTAATGTCCGGCTCTGATATTTCACCTGATAATGGCCACTGCGACTTATACTAAGTTAAAGCTTAGTATAGTCAATGCCGCAACATTGAATACAAAAAGGAACTCTTTAACCATGGATATATGAATATGAACCCCATCCAAAGTATCCCATGCGCAGGACAAGCTCTCTGGTCTTGTTCGACTGTCGTCCTAGAGCTGGTAGCTTGAACAAAATTACCCCTTGGTGGCCAAGGATAAAACGCAAAATTTTACAAATCTCAATATTTATGGGCAAGTTTTCATCCCGGATCGGCCATCACCCGGGTCCACAAGAGCCGCGTACCTCAGAGTCTGCGGCCGAAAAATCTGTTACTGGAACATACTCGAAGAGGTCACGAAACCCCTAATACTTGGACCAAGTGTAGATATTTTCTTATGATTTCAAACATAATGTCAAGAACTTTCGTATCGCCATAAAATTCATAATGGAATATAAGGTCACTTCTATTCAGTTTATGAATGTATGGATGACTCAAAAATAAATGCAACAATATACCACAACAAACCTACAGTTGGTTCTTTGCTATATAAGTTTTAATATTTAGTATTTATGCATTAAACGTATTTATTCTGAAATGTGAGATTACGAAGTACATATAGAATGTCAGATCAATCAATTTTTCAAAATAAATTATCCTCTCAAATAAATTAAAATGTCAAATATTAAGTTTTCCAAACATAATATAGACACTTTTCTAAACTACGAAACAAATCAGACAAATTTCTGAAATCTCATGTATTTTGATGTTAATAAAAAAATTCACAAATAATCTCATATTTTACAGAATGATTTCCAGTAACTAAAACTTGACACAACAATTAATATCTTTTACACTATTTACATTTTATGAAATGGACAAAGTCTGACAATTATTTTTAAAGACATTTTTCATGTTTATACGTTTTTTTTTATAGATACAAATATTAAAGTAAATGCTCTGTTTATAATAAACAGTATTAACGACATTTACCGGTTTGAATGTTC